CTTAACGAACGAAAGGACACAGATATAGGGTAGAACTGATGAGTTTTTATCCATTGTAATCTATTGATGATCTCGAGTTATGCTAGCATAGGGTTCCATCATTTCACTGGAAAATTATGTGATCATTTCCTCATGAAGTTTCCAACAAAAAAAGCATGAAAGGAGACATTTTACCTACAAAAAAGCATGAAAGGAGACATTTTACCTACAAAAAAGCATGAAAGGAGACATTTTACCTACAAACAAGCATGAAAGGAGACATTTTACCTACAAAAAGCATGAAAGGAGACATTTTACCTACAAAAAAGCATGAAAGGAGACATTTTACCTACAAAAAAGCATGAAAGGAGACATTTTACCTACAAAAAAGCATGAAAGGAGACATTTTACCTACAAACAAGCATGAAAGGAGACATTTTACCTACAAAAAAGCATGAAAGGAGACATTTTACCTACAAAAAGCATGAAAGCAGACATTTTACCTACACAAAAGCATGAAAGGAGACATTTTACCTACAAAAAAGCATGAAAGGAGACATTTTACCTACAAAAAAGCATGAAAGCAGACATTTTACCTACACAAAAGCATGAAAGGAGACATTTTACCTACAAAAAAGCATGAAAGGAGACATTTTACCTACAAAAAAGCATGAAAGCAGACATTTTACCTACACAAAAGCATGAAAGGAGACATTTTACCTACACAAAAGCATGAAAGGAGACCTTTTACCTACAAAAAAAAGCATGAAAGGAGACATTTTACCTACAAAAAAAGCATAAAAGGAGACATTTTACCTACAAAAAAGCATGAAAGGAGACATTTTACCTACAAAAAGCATGAAAGGAGACATTTTACCTACAAAAAAGCATGAAAGGAGACCTTTTACCTACAAAAAAGCATGAAAGAAGACATTTTACCTACAAAAAAGCATGAAAGAAGACATTTTACCTACACAAAAGCATGAAAGGAGACATTTTACCTACAAAAAGTATGTAAGGAGACATTTTACCTACAAAAAAGCATGAAAGGAGACCTTTTACCTACAAAAAAGCATGAAAGGAGACATTTTACCTACAAAAAAAAGCATGAAAGGAGACATTTTACCTACAAAAAAAGCATAAAAGGAGACATTTTACCTACAAAAAAGCATGAAAGGAGACATTTTACCTACAAAAAGCATGAAAGGAGACATTTTACCTACAAAAAAGCATGAAAGGAGACATTTTACCTACAAAAAAGCATGAAAGGAGACATTTTACCTACAAACAAGCATGAAAGGAGACATTTTACCTACACAAAAGCATGAAAGGAGACATTTTACCTACAAAAAGTATGTAAGGAGACATTTTACCTACAAAAAAGCATGAAAGGAGACCTTTTACCTACAAAAAAGCATGAAAGGAGACATTTTACCTACAAAAAAAAGCATAAAAGGAGACATTTTACCTACAAAAAAAGCATAAAAGGAGACATTTTACCTACAAAAAAGCATGAAAGGAGACATTTTACCTACAAAAAGCATGAAAGGAGACATTTTACCTACAAAAAAGCATGAAAGGAGACCTTTTACCTACAAAAAAGCATGAAAGGAGACATTTTACCTACAAAAAAGCATGAAAGGAGACATTTTACCTACACAAAAGCATGAAAGGAGACATTTTACCTACAAAAAGTATGTAAGGAGACATTTTACCTACAAAAAAGCATGAAAGGAGACCTTTTACCTACAAAAAAGCATGAAAGGAGACATTTTACCTACAAAAAATCATGAAAGGAGACATTTTACCTACAAAAAAGCCATGATAGGCAGTAATCCTGAGGATCTGCTCTTTCGACACGACACACATATTTCTCTGATCAACCTAAACCAAACATATATTTAAGGGATGCCCCACAACAAGTTATGATGATCTGGCTTCTAATTAAGAAACCTCTTTTATCATGCATGTCGTCTCAAATTCACTTCACAACAAAATTAATCAAATATTGCTCAAAATTATGCAAAATGAGAAGCAATCATTCTGGGGTAACCATTTTCGATATTATTGATGTTCCGTCGTTTTGCTAAATTGTAAGCAAAATTATGTTATTGTTTGAATATTGAATAAACACTTCTAAGAGGCAAGGAGAAAAAAGTCGATATGGTAGGAGTTGCTCGAGTTGTCCTGGGACATTGATGTCCAGGAAGGTATCGTCCTAATTAATAAGTAATTGCAGGGGAAGTAATTTTTCAGGGGGGAGGGGATAGCAGTTTGGGGGATAGTCATCATAATATGGTTCATTCCATCTAGTTTTCTTACTATTTAGTCCTCCAGACGGGAGTGGTCTTTCACACAGCCACCAACCCAGTAGATCAGCATAATGCAAATTGTTCGTCACAGAAAGGAACCAGACACAACAGTATATCCGTGGGGGCACAACAGAAAGACAGACAGGTGGCCACTCATATCTCCTGTGTATTAACTTTGTGGTCTTGGTTTTTGCGGGATACAATAATTGGTCATGAAAATGCATATTCGGGAGGGGAGAAAGGGACTTTTCATCCTAACCGAATCTGCCACATTTTAAATAAACACCAAATCCAAAATAAAATTTGAGAACCTTCTTTAATGACTATGAGTTAAGAGAAATAATTAATTCTCTGAATAATTTTGGGCAAAAAAAAGAAGAGACATATGCCATGCCTGCTCCCTGGTCTCAGATTAATAATAAGAAAACAATAAATTGTGTATACTTTGATGTGGTATGACTTACCGAGCATTTTTCTCTCGACATATGGTTTGACGACCTTACCAACATTGGATTCACTTGCAATAGCTTCTTTTACTAGCTGACTTAAAGAAACTGTTCAGTTGAAAAGTAAGAAAGAAAAACAAAAATATTTAGATAATGCCTTATCCCTATGATACGATATTATGTTACAGACATTACCATTTATAATAATGGTACTACTACTAATGATAATGATATTTTAATGATAATACTATAATATAATTTAAAAATACTACTGCTACAGCCGCAGTACTACAACTACTACTACTACCCGTATGCTACTACTACTACTACTACTACTACTATTACTACTAGTATTATTATTATTTACATGTATATATAGCTGAATACTAATGTTTCCTTATATTTCAATGAAAGAGATTATAATATCATTTCCGCTTTAACAAAATTAGAAAATATAGATAGTACGAGAAGGATGCATCACAGATAAGCATTCATGTTGGAGCCAACACATTAATAATAATAATAACTTTTATTTACCCAGGGTAGCCACTTCAGTTATGAAACTGTTCTTCCAGCGGGCCCTGCATAACATAATATGTTATTACTACCCTTCTCCAATCTAATATGCTGAGCGCCTAGCTAGAAGGCAGAAGGTCCCATTGTTATAAGTCTTTGGTATGACTCGGCCGGGGTTCGAACCCACGACCTCCCGTTCATGAGGCGGGCGCTCTAACGACTGAGCCACCATGCCCGGTTTTGTTCAGCTGTACCAACACAGCTCTCTATACATCATCTTGACAATACATCTAGGTTTATAACTATCTCACGAGGTTATGGAAACAGAAAAAAGATAAGAGAAAACAAAGAACCAGCCTGAATTTTAAATATTATTTAGGATTTGGGACTTAAATTTAAGTGTGAAAAAAGACATCATGACTCTTAGCATAAATTCAAGTCTCTCCTATCAACAATGGAATGCAACAAAATTGGCTCTTTCAAGGTAAAAAAATCTTATCGAACTGGCCTAGTTATTCATGAGTATATTACATTAAAGGGAACCAAAACCTTCATACTAAGTTACTTTTATTGTAAAGTTTAAGATATTTGAATAAAATCAGTGAAAATTTGAACAAAATCGGGCAAGGAATAAGGAAGTTAAGCTTTTTGAAATGACTAGTCACTAGAGGGCGATATTCAATTTGATGACATCATTTGTGGACTTCTCTCCATGCCTTTTGTACATCAAATTTCACAATTCTTACGTTGTCTTCGTATTTATTTGTGTTCTTGATCAGACTTCATAACATGTGAAGTAGAATATCATTTTGCATTCTATACCTTGCTTTTAGGGGAGTAGATTATCTCAATCACAAGAATGAAGGAAAACATGAAGTTTGAAGCACAAAAGGCATGAAGAGTTGTCCACGAATAATGTCATCAAATTGAATATCGCACTCTAGTGACTAGTCATTTCAAAAAGCTTTAACTTCCTTATTCCTTCGCCCGATTTTGTTAAAACTTGCACTGATTTTATTCAAATATCTTAAACTTTACAATAAAAGTAAATTAGAATGAAGGTTGGGGTTCCTTTTAAAGGGATAACTGCATATGCTTGACAGATTCCATGATTACATTCACACCTCGATCATGAACGAACAACCCTACATCAAGCAGTCTATGGGGATCGCCTAATACAGTGAAACCTGATCTAGCGAGCACCTGTATAGAAAGACCATCTGTCTATAAAGTCCACATTTTATGTTTCCCTTGAATGGTGTTCCTCAGTGAAACGTGTACTTGACAAATCCTGTACATAAAGACCACCTGTCTATAAAGAGCACTTTTCTTGTCTTCCTTGAGTGGTCTTTATATCCAGGTTTCACTGTGTACTGCAAAACCAGAAACTCTAACATGCATGAAATGTTTGTAAATTGTGTGAATGTTAGAGTTCGCAAAGTATTCATGCCACGAAATAACTGAATCCCAACTGACACACCACTGCTTGGGAAAAAAATTATCTCTCTTTTCCAAATTTCAAAAGTTTAAAAGCACAACAATTCTGAAATAGGAAAGAAAGTGAGAGAGAGAGAGGGGGTATTCTGTTGGTTTCATCCTATAGAGGACTACCTGGTATTGCATGTGTGAGATAGAGAAATTAAGAGAAGTGTTCTTTTGTAAGAGGAGTCCTGAGGAGGACTGGTTTACCTGATTATGAATGCATAGAGAGATCGAGGCTCAACTTTCAGAACGGATTGACTGTTTGTCATCCTGAGTGAAGATGAACAGTCAATGGAGACAAACAGTCAATCTGTTCGGAAAGCTGAGCCACAATCTCTCTTTGCATTCATAACCTGGTTCATCACAAAAAACACCACAACAAAAACACAAAAAATCACAAAAACACACCTCTCTCTCATTTCTCTACCTCTATCCACACAATACCAAGTAGTCCTCCAAAGGAAGAAACCCAAAACATACCCCTCTCTTACTTTCTTTTCTATCCCCTTTCATACCCAACAGTCCTTCTAAGGACTACCCGCATGGTGAAACCGCAAACTTATGAATTCATACACCCCACCATGCCTAACCTAACCTTCAAAGATCATCCAAATGATTCTGGTTTTACAAAACGTAACTGACTGCTCAACGTACCGTCGATGATGCCATACTTGCTGGCTGGCAGGGCAGCCTGGACAGTCTTACCGCTACCGGTGGGACCCAGGAGGACGATACGAGGATTGTGAGGTGCCAAGGATCGAGTCTTGGAACTCAGGAATGTTGTTACTGCAGATGGAGAAGAAAGGTACAACTACAAATGATAATAATAGTATTATTGCTACTTCTACTATTACTACTACTACTACGACTACTACGACTACGAAGAAAAAGAAGAAGAAGAAGAATGATGATTATATGATATGATGATGACGATGATGATACGATGATGACGACAAACACGACGATGATGATGATGATGATGATGATGATGACGATGATGATATGACGTTGATGATGTCATCAGCATTAATGCTGTTCTCCTTGAGGGCCTGGAAATCACATCATTACCCCTAGCATGCAAGACATTCTTCTTACCGGATACCTTTTCTAAACTCTCAAACTCGAAGAGTTCTCTGAAAAGTTAGGAAAAGGTTTGTAGATTCAAACTTTTGACCTATGTGATTACATCAACAACAGAAGAAAAAAAAACTAAAATTAACTGTTACATCAATAATACATCTCTCAAGCATCAGCATATATTCTATCCGTTTAACAAAAAAAAAGCAATGAAATTGGCACCCTACCCCTCTCCAAGTTTTAACAACTTCACACTACCATGGGTTCTGCATTATGTTACAACTAGCTATCAGTATGTAAGAGAGCAGAGAGCAACTTAACTATAGAATCTTTGGAAGAAAAAAAGAGCTACATGTAAGGAAGGAAATATTAAAATACCTAGATAACAATCATATCTGAAAAAGAGATGAAAAGGAATAATCAAAAGAAAACCTTTGAACAAAGTTCAAGTTGATGAGTTGTGAGTGAAGAATTTTGACCTATATTGTTTCTGATCCATTCCTCTCTCTACAACAATATATAGTGTAACAATGTCACTGTGGTTAACTTGCAGTGAGCTAACTTGTTTCTATTAAATGAGCTGCCATACACTATTCAATGACCATATATCTTTTAAATTCTATTCTATAAAAAATAAAAAATAAAATAATAATAAATGAATATATTTAAAACAAGAGTTTTCAGTTAGCAAACAAGGTGTCTGCGTGTCATCTACTTATTACCTTGCGAGTAGACATCAGCTTTAGGTTGATCGGCGTTGATAGACTTGGTGTACTGCTCATAAGCTACCTTGAGGCCCGGGATGAAGCGATGAAAGAGGATCAGTCGATCCACCATGGCCTCCTCTCTGCATCCCTCAGGGGGCTCTACCAGTCCTACGCATTTCCAGTCAAGTGTTTTGTAGACCAATCGACTACGACATCTCTACCCTTGCCATTGTTGTCACCATTAGCTTTCTGTAAATCGCATGTATTACCAAAGCCAACAGAATCATCATGATCCAAGATTTTAACAAGGAAATCATATCTTTTCCTTACATCAAGTGCAAATAAAATCAACACAAAAGATGTGACATGGCCACATTAAAGCTCAAAATCACCAAAGGATCCTAAATCTGACGATCTAGCAAATATGAAATTTGAAGGTGATCTCTCCGCATGGAGGAAAACAGACAGAATATGGAGATCTACACATACACTTTTTAACAGGGGGTCTGGATTGCATTTTATAAGGCCTACATCCATAACTAACCCTATATGTTATCACTTTTTAATTTGGGAGTGAAGACTTAGATTTTGGATGTCCATGTGTCCTGGGTTCCTGTTAGGGTCAAGCCCTGGAATATGTATTATGTTGTCTTCAGAATATGAAATTAGAATGTGAAATTACATATTGGGGCATCAGACACATCGCTTACTACTTGTCTGATTATGCAGCAAACAACTGCAATGCAATGGTCTACATGTAAATCTTGCATTCCCCTCATTCTCCCTCAAGACACCATAGCACCAAAGCTTGGAGATGAACAAGAAAACTTACCCCCTGTCTCGGGATCAATCCTCTTGCCCGTCTGTCTCTCAATCAGCACTGTGTCTGGGGGCTTCCAAAACAACTGCATTTAAAAGGTTAGAAGAAAAATGAAAAATAGCTATGAGGTATTAATCATCTAGGATAGGTTACTGATGATGCAGTGTATAATTTTGTTTTAATTGCAAGCACTTTAAAAGACGATATGTATTCCACAGGGAATGTTTGTTATTGAAAGCCATGGTAAAGTTATGGGTTCGTGAAAATGAAATACCAACTTCATCTTTGATTGATGTATTGACTGGCTATTCATTCCAACCCCAACATCCAGATTTCTATTCCCAAACTCTTCTTTTCCTCTTATTTCTATTATCTGTATGCTACCCCCCCCCCCCCCTCTCTCTCTCTCTCTCTCTCTCTCGCGCGCTCTCTCTCCCTCTCTCTCTCTGTCTGACAAAACCCAAAAAACAAAGAAAAAGCAATAAATTTTCAATAATTCATTGCATTTTCCCCCGACCCCCAACATAAAATATATTCTTTGTCGGCATGCCTTGAACCATAATGCATGGCCCTACAGAGGATTTTTTCCTGTTGAGGACTGGGGGAAAATGCAATAAATTATTGACAATTTATTCCATTTTCTTTGTTGTTTTTTTGTTTTTGTGGGGGCGTCGACGTACCCTAGCGCCCGCTGCGTACAGTCATGATTCATTGGCTAAGCAATGGCCTCGTTACTGTGAGGCCCCAGGATCAACACCGTGTCGATGTGGTATATTAGTGCCCTTTTATGAGGTATTAATCCCCATTACTGTCGGTTATGACTTAAGGACGTAGGTCCCCTAGTTGATTAGCATTGTAGCACACACATGCTTTAGCAGTCACGCAAAACAAACACTCCCCAATTGTCATTCAATAAAATCTGAGAATGTATACTATTATCTAGATCTATTAAGAATAAATCATTGTCAAAATCGTTCAATAAATTGGGATAAAATAATAATTCCACCATTATGACCAACAGTGTATGTGCAATGGTTACATCTAGAACATGTATGATTTAATATTTTTGGGGGGAAGATAGAAATTTCTGAGCTTTTCAGTATAGAGAAAATGGAACAGGACCTTGAAAGATACGTCACAGAGTTGCCATCTTTTGTTTGATCCATTTCAACTTTTAACAATTCATAAATTCAATATTTTTCATCAGATATTGCCCAATCTTTCACTGATCTGTTTCTCTAAGTTTATGTTTTTTTCACAACCCACTTATCGTTCGGGTGGAGTTTCCCTTCAAGTTTGGCTACAGTCCACTCAAGAGACCTACAACTAATACTTATATAAGGCAATACCTCTCCGCTGGACTGGCAACTTCTTGCTTTAGCTGCGGTGGTTGACACATCGTCTGCTAAGAGAGTCCCCTTGTTGGTATAAGCTGCCTTCAGCTGATTGGACACCAAGCGAGCTATGGTCGTCTTGCCCGATGCTGGAGGACCATGAATGACAATTGCTGGAGCTGGACAAATGCAGAGGGTGAAACGATAGATGAATAAATGCACTATCCTCAAAGTGTCTCCAGACATTCACACTCTATTTGTACATTGCTGAGTAAACCTCCATCAGTATCTCAACGCCTACTTGCAACTAATTGTTTCAATAGCCGATCAAATCTCAAAATCTTCAATGTTACTTTCTACAGACCTTACTCTTTTACACATTGAAAAATATGATTTTGAATGGAAACATTTATAGCACATCTGCTCCGTTTATGTGCCTCAATCTCACTTAAGTGCCTGGCATGCTTGATTGACATACATGTGGCATGTTCTATCTTGGATTTACCTCACAATAACAGTATGATGACAAAGATGATGATGATGAGATCATGATCATGAACATCACCATCATCATAATCATAATAACATTGACAAACAACTGTGTAATTTATCTTCATTAAATGGTTACTGTCGTCATTTTCTCTCTTCAGTTGTTCAAGGAGATAATCCAATGGATCCTGTGATTTGCTGATAATTAGACCTTCAATCAGTCTCTGGTAGATAAAGAAAAAAAGGAAATGGGAAAAAAGGTATAATCTATGTATTGTAAGGTTTATTCGGTCACACGTATAAGATGTCTACCTACATGTATGACATGTAAATGTAGGTCCAGGAAAGTTGATTATTAGGACGAATCATTTCAAACAGTATTGTCTACCCAAAGATCGTGTGTCTGGTCAAGTTGGTTATCTGGACAGTTGATTTCAAATAGTAGGACCGGAAGGGGGGTTGTGTGTCCGGACACTAATACCCCCCCCCCAAAAAAAAAAAAAAAAAAAAAAAAACTCACACCATTGCTGTTGGATTTACATGAAAAAGGGAATCAAACAGACAAACCATCATGATTATATGTCATTGATAATATTTCCCAACGTATATTTTCAAAGGTTTTGGATAAATTTTTGAAATCATCTGTCCAGCTACCCAACCTGTCCGAACACACAACAAATGGGTGCAATTCAAAGAAGTTTAAGTGCAACATTTCATAAATCTTTGAGACATTTGTTGTAAGGTGGTGTAACCATAGTTCACGTGTGACCTTACCAGTAATTGGCGGGAAGTTCCATATCTAAACAAAATCTGTAATACGAGGATTGTGAGGTGCCAAGGATCGAGTTTTGGGACTCAGGAATTTTGTTACTGCAGATGGGGAAGAGAGGTAACATTATAAATGATAATAACAATAATACCACTACTATTACTACTACTACTACCACTAGTACTACTACTACTACTACTATTACTTCTACTACTTCGACTACTACTACTACTTCCAATATTAACACATTTAATAACAATAATAAGAAGAAGAAGAAGAAGAAGAAGAAGAAGAAAAATGATTATTATATGATATGATGACGATAATGATGATATTGTGATGATACGATGATGACAACGACGACGATGATTATTATCATTATTAATATTATTATTGTTTTTATTAACATCATCATTATTATTATTAATGTTATTATTATGAACAACAATATTAGTGTTATTAATGTTTTATTATTTTTGTTATTGATATTAATCTAATTATTATTATTATTATTTAAGATCTTCTGTTTAACGTGCTCATTACGAAAAGATTCAGAAATGCAATCAAATATTTACTTTGGGTTCAATTGTAATCTTCATGTATATAAGCTAGGGTATGAACATGTATGCTCGATATTCAACTAAGATCTTGCTTTGTCCACTTTCCAGAGAACATATCTCATGGAGATCTAGTTTTCAATTTTGCATATGTCACACTACTAACAATTTTATTTAGAATTTAATACTTAATATGAATTTATATGATAAATAAAAGTACATTCCACTTCAAGCAGTGTAAAAGGAACTAACATGAATCTACATATATATATATATGTATTAGTAACCTCATTAAATGTTTATATTCTCCTTTACTTTCATGAATTTTAGCAACATAAGAGAATGGACATTGCTAGCAAGCGTAAAATATCAGGTAATTTGGCTTATTTCATCCAATATGAGGTTATAGATTCCATAGTATTGGAAGAGGGAATATGATTAACTGTCAAATTTAGGTACATTACAGCTACCGCATTCAATTTTGTTAATTAACAAATGCATTCTTCTGTTCAACTTCTTTCTTTGCCTTTTTTTTCAAAGATTATTCGTTGTGTTTCGTGATGATGAGAAAAAAATATATAATACTTAATATCTGTACAAATAATTTACAATTGCAATTTACAAAAACAATCTCCTTTCCCCCTGAATTTACAGGAGACCTGCCGTGCTGAATATACAGTAGATGGGCCGGCATTCAAGACTCTTCCAAGAGGTACAGGAACGTGTCGAAGAAGGAAGGGAAAAAATGTAACTGGTCTCGGCCCCATGAAAACAATTACTGATTTTTTTTTATCTCACACCTCCATGTATGAGAGAGTAAGTTCATGTATTTTTCCATGTTGTATGAATCCCCATAGCATTGATTCACAGAAACGATTAATGTTTGTTTTTTTCTTTAAAATGTCAATTATTTGTTCTAGCTTAACGGGGGAATCATTCAGATGCCAACCTTCTCATTTACAGAATGATAATGATGACCAATTCATACAAATTGAGGCTTTGATCTTACATGCATAGGTTACAGTCACTTGCCATACTTTATGCCATTTGCTTGCGTTATCATATTTCTTTTAATTTTATTAAATGTTTAGTTGCTATGAATTTGGATGTAATCAATCAATGTAATTTAGCTACAATGTGTCAGTGCATATTGCTTTAAAAAATTATAAGATAAAACGTTTCTCAAGTTCTCAAACAATCTTAAATAGCTGTGCATGTCAAATGAACGATTTTTAAAGATAAAGTTGAGTTCTGATCATGCGAATGCATTGTGAAATAAAAGGTGTGAAATGGATCAGAAAAGGTTGATCATCTAGCATGTAAGTATTGGTGTGTACTGCAAGGTTCTGGAGTCATCAAAATCATAATAAATTTGGCCCAGTCTTGGTAAAGTAACAAGCACTGTACACATAAAGATGTATATGGGACTACACAAATGGTGTCGGGGTTACCTACCTTGATTTCCTTATCTTTCTATGATCATTACTCAGCCATCATACATTTTCTACCAAAATTGTTTGGCAAATGACAATTATTTGTAATCTTGAACATTCAGTGTAGGTTTCATTTGATTCTGTGAGAAATCTTTTTCTTTTTTTCACGAGAATTCAAGTTTATCTTTAAGCTGTGTAGATAATAATGATGCAATGCTTTTTAGGAAGATCTATCTATCTCTGTTTCATTCATTTGTATCTTGTAGGGACATGTACACATCTACCAGGGATCATGCTTGTATATGACCCGGTAGCTGATGCAAAATAAAGCTCTGAAGAACAGACTGGATGACAAATTTAATGGTTTGTGATTGGTTGAGAGCTCTTCACGTGACCAAAACCAGATTTCAGCCATTTTAAGGTCGCTCAGTAAAGGTACTATTTGGGAGTGGTGTACTATTTGGAGGTAGGACTACTATTTGGGAGCAAAAGTACAATTGGGGAGAAGAAGTACTATTTCGGAGCAAAAGTACAATTGGGGAGAAGAAGTACTATTTGGGAGTTGAAAATTCAGCGAGCGTAAGATGTCACGGGGATCATGCCCTACAATCTACGCAGAGCCACATGTACAGTATTATCAACTCCGCTTCACACTACTGCCATACCTGTATAGTAAGTTATTCTGCTTGATTATACATCTTAGCTGTAGGATATAAAACAAATATGCCATGCCTTCTTTTCGAGGTACTGGTTAAAACTTTGGGCCTCAGTGACTCCAACAGTACTATTGGAGTCACCTCTTGCCCATAGTTTAACCAGAACCTCTAAAGACAGTGTATATTTTGTACAATATCTAAACGCATGAATATAACATATTATTTTTGCTTTAGTTCCACATTATACCCAAAACACTCATTTTCAAGAAGAGTCTTTCGGAAGTGTAATTTAGAAAAAAAGAAGAAGCTAATTCGGATAGGAGTCAATATTGTACATACAAATTGCATATAATGTTTCAATTTTTTTTTGTATTGAACATCATTGATACCTATTAATATTTTAGGTTGATTTCATGAATATTAAAATCAAAATGACAGACAATGTTATTATACAAATATAGATAAAAAGAGAATAAACATATGTTTTTTACATTATTGTCAAATTCTTCTTTATTTAGTTTTTAGTTTTTCGAACTTATATAAATATTAATAATTCAGAGAATTCCAAATTACTGAAGTTTATTGTTATATTTCTCAATCATTCTACAGAAACTACATCGTTTAAAACTGCAGACATATTGTATTTCTTATATCTTTTCTTACTAGGGATTTTTACTTGAGTCAAGCCCCTAATAGGTTTCTTAAAACCATTTATGGTTGTTAAATGCACCAACTTTTGACTTTCTCATCTCATATTCTCTCGTAGAATTGCTACACACCTTTAATGACGTAAAGCAGTGGACAATTTTCTTCAAATTTTAATCAGAAGTGAGAGAAACTTTTTCCTGAAATCTGTAAAAAAAAAAAAAAAAATGGCAGTACCAACAAATGATCATCATCATGGTAATGCTGGGAACAAAAATGAGGAAATCCTTCAAGATGCGGAATGCGTTTCCACTGAAAATGGCGAACATGATAGGATGGAAGTATCTAATAAAACAAGCGACGTACCCAAAGCAGATCTAGAACGTTTCCAATATACAGTGGAAGTCTCTAATGGAGATGATGATCTTCCCTTTACAGTGGAAGTAACTGCTGAAGATGACGATCTTCAAACTCAATACCTAGGAAGTATTCCCTATACAGTGGAAGTAACTACTGAAGATGACGAGCTACTAACTCAATACCTAGGAAGCCTTCCCTATACAGTGGAAGTAACTGCTGAAGATGAAGATCTTCAAACTCAAGACCTAGGAAGCCTTCCATATACAGTGGAAGTAACTACTGAAGATGACGAGCTACTAACTCAAGCCCTAGGAAGCCTTCCCTATACAGTATAAGAATCACAGGAAAGATGTTGAAACACGAACAGCAATTCCAGAATTCCTCCAATACACACTAGAAGTAGCTAAATAAATATTCTGTATGTTTAATTTCAAATTAAAAGCGTGTGAAGAAAAAAAGGTTTTCATTTTGGTGAATTTAATGTAGAACAATGTACAGAAATCACATGGTCTAATCAGTTTGAAAAAAACACTAGGAGATTATTTTAGTAAGTACATGAAATTAGCTTATGAGAAAACATGGAAGGAAAAGGTAGAACAAATTGAAAACCAAATTAAACAGTGGAAATGAAGAAAGTTGACATGCTTTCGTAAAATAACTGTATTGAAATCACTTGTATTGTCAAATATTACTTATATTATGTCAGTTTTTCCAAGTATTGATTTTTATAAATAAACAAATTGAAAAACTCTTGAAAAACAATTTTGTATGGGATGGTTTAGATAGAGTAAAGTGAAAAGCTATAATCGGGTTAACTGATAAAGGATGTTTGAATATGTCAGATTTGTTTTTGCAAAGTTTTGCTTTAAAAGTATATTGGCTTTATAAGCTAATGGAAAATAAAGATCATAATTTCAGATTTGAACTATCTTGTTCCCAACTTTTTAGTGCTCAAGATGAATTTCTTAAAGGACGAAGAATTAAAAGTTCTAAAAGATATACCTTTATTTCATCAACAATGTATTTCGGCATGGCAAAAATATTAACGTGTTAATAAGTCATGTAATGAGGTCACTAATATTAGAATGCATTTGTTATGAGGAAA